ACCTAGGAGGCATTTGAATTTGTCATGCTTAGCCCTCCCCAGCATGGCTTATAAGCATGGTCATAATCACAGTGCTGGTATGAGGCTTGTTATGTGTCAGGTATTGGAGTCATTTGTTTAGGAGGTTAAGTCATTTTGGTACTCAGGTAGCAACTGAAATGCTTAGCTTGAGGAAGGAACATGAGCCAAAAAAAGGGACTGAGCTTTCACATCATATTTCATCAAAGGAACCTCACCTTTGTCCCTTTGTGTTTCTTAGAAACAGAAGGGATGTGGATGGGACAGTGGGAGAAAAGCACTGTTTTGTTTTAATTAATTTGGGGGGAGTTATTTTTGGGGTGCATGCTGCAGGAGTGAAGGGTTTGTTGGAGGGACTGGAAGGCAAGTGGGCGTGATTGGGGTGCATGATGTGAAATTCCCAAAGAATCAACAAAGAATTAAGTTTAAAGAAAAAAATATAAAACTTAATGTGTAAATACAGCAATGTACTTCTTGGCATACATTATTGATTGAACACTTTTCTCTGTGGGAAATTACATTAGAAAACAGCCTAGAGCTGGGTGATGGTGGCACATCTTTAAACCCAGCACTTGTGAGGCAGAGGCAGAGGCAGAGGCAGAGGCAGAGACAGAGGCAGGTGGATCTCTGTGAGTTCAAGAACAGCCTGGCTTACAAAGTGAGTTCCAGAACAGCCAGAGCTAAAAGCAAGCAAGTAAACAAACAAACAAACAAAAACAACAACAACAAAAAACCAAATCAGCCCAGATAGCAAATTATACTGGTGGAAAATTAAAGAACATTTGTAAAAATCTTTAATTTTCTTAATTCTGCGATTTTCTGAAATTGTTAACTTCTGAACAAAGAAAAGATCAATTTTACAAAGATGTAAAAAAATCATTAAATTAGAAAAATTATTTAAATGGGCCTGAGATTCCCAAAGGATACCCTATCTTGGCATTGCTAAGATACTGCTTTGGTACTATAATTAGACTTCCTTTATCATCATATAGATTATTCTTCACTTCCACGTTATTCAATAAATAATTATGAGAAATCAGTTACAGTTTCCTGTTTCTTATTATACCTCTCTGCATTAAAAATCATATCTATTTAGACCCAGAAGTCATGATTTAGACAGGATCATTTAATTCTGGTTTGTGATATCAGACTGACCAGAATCTACTTCCATGCTTGATGACACAGTTAATCTTGAAAATTTTTACTAGAACTGTCTGCATCTTGATTTAATTATATAATAATGATATAGTAAAATGAATAATAAAATATCAATCATGGCCCAGTGCAAAGGTTCAGCAGGTAAAGATGTTTGTCACAAAGTCTGACAACAAAAATTCAATCCCTGGGGCCTACATGCTAGGATAGAACCAACTCCTCCAAGTTGGTTGTCCTCAGATATACACACATACAAATACATACAAAATAAATAATTTTTTAAATTGTAATACCATTAAGAAGGCTCTTGTGGATTAAATTATACAAAAATCTGGCACACAGTGTACATTCAATACATGTTCAATATAATATCCTATTCATAATTTTATTTCAGTAGGAAATATTAGCTAATAATTTGCTGAACAGCAAATAGCTTCCAATTTTGTTATGTTTTCAAATTATCAATATATAAGTGGTTCTGAGAAACCTCATCATAAGAAATTTTCTGTTGATAAAGAGGGGCTCTTGTCTCCTGTGACTCCCCTAATTTATTGAGGCTCTAAGTCATCACTTAACAATCCCCAGGCAGTACATAGCCTTGTCCTGAGCACATTATGGGCCGTGTGAAAGCACTTTGGACATTACACCAGTGGTGCACCTAAGTTTTGAGCTAAGGACATTCTACAAAACTACTTTATGGGGGAGATAGGTATGAATCTTTCCTCAGTCAATGCATATTTAACAATAAAGGTTGCTAGGAATAGTAGCACATGCCTTTAATTCTAACACTTGGGAAGCAAGAGGTAGGCAGGTCCATCTGTATTCCTGGTCTGCATAGGGAGCTCCATGCCAACCAGGTGTGCATAGTGAAATCCTGCTTTAAAAACAAACAAAAATAAATAAGTAGTGTGAAAAAATAATAAGGTGGTGGTGGTGGTAGCGGTGGTGGTAGCAGCAGTGGTGCACACCTTTAATCCCAGCACTCGGGAGGCAGAGGCAGGCCGATCTTTGTGAGTTTGAGACCAGCCTGGTCTACAAGATCGAGTTCCAGGACAGGCTCCAAAGCCACAGAGAAACCCAGTCTCGAAAAACAATAGCAACAACAACAACAACAACAACAACAAAAGCCAAGTTATTTTAAAATGTCAACTAGATAAGGCAGGGTTTATAGGCAGATTTATAAACCTCACAAAACTGTTCATAATTACCTGAAGGAAATATTTCTCATTTTACTAGGGAAAGAAAAATTGCACTAGAAGGATAGATGGGAGGTACTAACCAAAGCAGAGAACAATTAGAAACTATAAGCATAAGCATTGTCTTATTGTAGTAATTAAGTTTAACTTGCTAAAGCCAAATAATCTTATTTTAATAATGAAAAATGATTAATATAAGTGAATTTATAAGGTTACACAGACTTACATAAATCACAGTAGTATGATTCCTCTAGGAGCTAACAAAAAGAGTGAAAAAGTATAGTTTGATCAGTATGTAATTTTACAAAGTAAAAAGCATAATCAAATATGCTTGAAGAAAAATATGACCAGTATTAGCCAAAAACCAATTAGTACTTTTCAAGATTCTCACAAGACAGCCTAGTGTGGTGAGCCATGCCTCTAGTCCCAGAATTTGGAATACAGAGGAAGGAGGATCAGAAGTTGGAAATCACCCTTATCTAGTGAGTTCAAAAACAGCCTGTAGTACAAGAGACTCTCTCAAAAAAGCAAATCAAACAAAAGAATCTCACCAGATACTTGAATACTTCAGGATTACAACGAGTCCAACATTAATAAACATTAAAATGCAACACATACAGCAAAATTAAAATCTAATTTACTGACAACTGTGTACCCTCTATTAACCATGATTTCACTCAATTTCTCGAATTTCTGCAACTTTCAAATGAATAACAGCAGCAGACAAATGCTCATGAAAATGAATAACAACCAAGACTATCAACAGTTTGCACTTAATAACAGCATAATAGAAAGTTCTGCATCCTTGACAGGCCTGTTTGAGAAAATGTAAATGAGTTAATGTAAATAAATGTAAATGAGAAAATGTAAATGTAAATTGAGTTAAATGTATATGTCTGTATCTCTTAAACATACTGTATCTTCAGCATTTAAAAGAGGGGCCATTCACATGACTTTTGACAAAAACAATGCTTCTTCCCAAAGAAATTATGACTGGTGATTTGCTTATCTTACTTGCAACTTAAATTTGAAATATTCTTATTTGTGGACTTGTTTAAAACAATTTAATCATAATCCATTCTGTTCAGTTGTAAGCTCTGCTCTCTTCGTGATTTTTGAAGATGTGAAAGTGACCTGTTTCTTCAAACATCATATCCCCAGAAATGATTAATCTGAAGCTGAACCAGCTACACATGATAAGCCAGGTGCTCAAGTTCATGATGTGTAGTGGGCTGTGCTCCTGTTTCATGACACATCGTCTCCTCCCTCCTCCCACCACTCCTACAGCTGCTTCTCCATGAACTAAATTTATCAATTATGAAACCAAAGAAAAATCATTTTAATATTGTTCAGGCTTGGTTTTCAGGAGGGTAAAATTAAGCTATACATTTCAAAACATTTTATTTTCCTCTTGGGACTCTTAAGTATTAAATTAATACTAAACATTAAAAAAGCTAGTCACTTAGTAAGATTTCTGAATATATAAAATAGCATATACCTAATTTTATAGTGTCTCATGTAAGATGTTTCTTCCAGAGTCAGTTTGTAAAATTCTATCAAAAGTTCAACAACATATAGACACTGACACAAGAAAAATATAGAACGCCAGCTGGAAAACAAGCAAGCAAGCTAGGTAATAAGGCCTTCAGGATACAGGGCATTTCAACTAAATCAAAACTCAATTCCTTCTATTTGTTTTTATAACTACTTTTAAAATTTTCCCCTTGATTTTATGAGGTTACAGCTGAATATTAGTCCAAATGTCAGATAAAACTATGAGTACTAAAAGAGTCACACAATTAGAGATGAAAAAAATCTTAAATTCACATATCTACCAGTAAGGAGAAAAGCCTATTAGTTAAGTGACTTGCCTGGTCACTTTGAAATTCATAATTTTCTATGGTTGCTCAGGGGATTTGTACTTTTGTTTTGTGTGTGTCATGTATTTCCAATGGGAGCTTTCCCATAAGATTCCCCTTCCCTGAGATGCCATGTTTTCTGTCATGCAGGAAAAGAAGGGTCCAAAAGTAACACAGGGGGCTACAGTTCAAAAGGAACAGCTGCCTTAGGAAGACTACTTCCTGATCAATATGCCTGGTGACATTGAGTGAAAGCAGAGGTTTCTGATCTTTTCCTTGTCTTCCTAGCCTACAAACTCTTCTTTCAAGTACTGATTCTACAAGTCCACTCTGAACAGTTTCATCTACTTTCAATTAGAGAAGCTGAGTGGAAAACATAGCATGCACCTCTTGTTAATATTCATTTACTGTATTCTGATCGTCTAGAGAGCTTAGGTTACCTAAACTTATTTAAGAGCAAAAATGCTACTCTCCAAGTGGAAGATGTAAAACCTAAGACACCATTCAGTATGGGCTACATCTAATCTGTTCCATCTCAGGACCAGAACTGAGGACAGTCGCTGCAGCTGGGGGAGAAGGAAAGTAAAACAGTAAGGTTATGCAAAAACTCCCTCTAAGAGATGTTTATAGAGAGATGTTTCTTTTCCAAGGAAAGTTAGAACTACAGCAGTTTGTTAGTTCAGGAAAATCTGTTTAGGCAGGGCCTGCAGCTTCAGTAACCAAGGGGAGGAGAATGGGGTGGGGTGGGGAGAACAACCTTAGCACTACTTACTTCAGACAAACTCTGGTTTGAACAACTTCTCTAACTCTGGTCATTCTACTATCCAGTAGACACTTTCGGGGCTCTTGGATCTCCTCTGTGCAATAGTGAGGTTCCAGAAAATATGCTAATTCCAGAAGTGCTCCGGGAAGCCTACAACAGGAAGCAAGAGCTCTGTGGGCTCACATCAGTTTCATGGGGGAGTGAAGTGGGAGGTGGGGGTGGGCCTGCAGAGACAGGAAACTGTAATGGCTTACTATGTGCAAAAACCTCAAAGGGGAAGGTCAGACAAGGATAATAGGCCAATTTAATTCTGAAAGCACAAGGTGCAAGAAATTTTATTATGGTCTGCCACTGAAATCACACAAGACCCAATAGCATCTAACTGCAACTGCTCATCAAGGGAAACAAGAGGTGTAATTGTAACCGCGGTATAATCACCGTGAGCGAGCCTAGACTGCTGCTGCCTACAGCTCCCAGCAGAGAAGTATTAGGAGCCAGAAAAATCCAATACAGAGAAAAAGAGATTCTACACGGCGTAGCAAAACAAAAGCCAAAACGTGTGTGTGTGTGTGTGTGTGTGTGTGTGTGTGTGTGTGCAGTGAAAAAGCTGTTTAGCTGTGTGTGTGTGCGTGTGTTTGCACGAGCGCATGTGTTTGTGCACTGAAAAAGCTGTTTAGCTGTGTGTGTGTGTATGTGTGTTTGTGCGCGCATGTGTGTGTGCAGTGAAAAAGCTGTTTAGCTCTGTGTGTGTGTGTGTGTGTGTGTGTGTGTGTGTGTGTGTGTACAGTGATAAAGCTATTTAACTCACACGAAGGACAGAGCTTAGAAAACTCTGGTTTTAACATGTACTGGATCTCCTCTAAAAACTCCCTTCTTGAAGCTTCTCCCACTCTCCTTTGTTTAAAACTGTTAGCCTCAATGTTACAAAGATTGGCAGCAGCAGAGTCTCTGGAATGCGAACCTAACACACCCGAGTCTAGAGGCAAAACACCGCGCCCATGACTCCCGGCCAGTCTGGAGAGCTCCTGCGTGACCGAAGGCCTCCCGCAAGGAGCACAGACCCCACCCCCACCCCCATCCCAGTCCCCGCGCCAGCGCTCTTCCACTCAACTAAGAGCAACAGCCAGCCCCAAGGAAGCCAAGCCTCCCAGCCGCACCCGCTCCGAAGTTGGCACTGAAGTTTGTGCAAGATTGTCCGGATTCTTGAAGAGGAAGGGACGTGAGGTGGAATGAAGGAAGTTGAGTTTTCCGAATGGATGCCGAGGCACAAGGTCGGCTACCTCGGAAGCCTTTTCGGCTCACGAGGTCGGGTTGGTGGGCACTGGGAAAATCTCCCTGGCGCCGTTGCTGGGGCTTGGGAGCTGTCACCTGAGGGCAGCCCAGAAGGGAGCAGGAAACGTCCTCCTGGCGCCAGAGGAGGACCCCAGGTTTCCGACTCACTGGATCTTGGGGCTCAAAGCAGAGGGGGAGGGGAGATGGCAGAGGGGACAACAGGCAAAAGCAACACCTTTCAGAGGGGCTTTCTGCTACGCCCTCTCTAAGTTCGTGCTGGGAGGGCCAGTTTTCTCCCAAGCCACCCTAGTCCATCCGGATTCGTGTCCTCAGCTCAGACCAGTCCACCACCAGAGGTGGGTGGGTGAGGTGTGGAAGCTAAGGGATAAAGGTTGAGACCCTAAATGCTGCCCTAGTCCCTCGCCGAGACAACCCAACGCATTTACACAAGCCACAACCAGTATCAGCTCACGGCTGACACAGGGCGCAGCTACCGACTCTCCTGTTATTCCTAATAAAGTCGATTACGTTGCCCTCCCGGAGCTGATTGGAAGGGAACGGAGAGGGAGAAGGGGGCGGGTAAGGGGAAAGAGCAGGGGGAGCAATCAACTTTGCGACCCAGCACTTCCTCGCGATCCGTCGCCATGCTTAAGATCCACCCCCACCCCCTCCTGCCTTTCAAGTGGATACTGAAACTAGGCCAAAACTTTTCCCCTCCTTTTCTCTTTGCCACTAGACTGGATTGTGCCCCATGGAGCCCCATGGAGCTCTGCTTTCTTAAGCACAATAGCCGGACTAATTAGATCATAGAGGCAAGGCAGCGATACTGTAACAAGTAGCCCAAGAGGCAAAAGAGGGAAGGGCGGAAGAGAGGGAAGGGGGAAAGTTTGCAGCTCTTACACTTACCGATCAAGCCTCCCACCAGAAAGGCAACGATTTGAAAAACCAGCAGAATCCCTCCAACAATGCAGAGCTTCTTGGTGCTCATGTTTTCTATAATTGCCCCAGCCATTTCTGCGCCCCTCTTCTTTTCTCCTTTAGGTAGATGTTTTAGATTATGCTTTCGCTTCCCCTCTCCTTCTTCCTTGTCCTCTTCTCCTGGTGCTGCAAAACTTCAAGGGTGCGATAGCACAGAAGAGATGGGATCCAGACCGCAGGCTCCCGCGCGGATCCCTGGGCGAAGCCGCTGGGGCTCCTCAGATGCCCAGAGCTGAGACTGCGGCCGCTCGGCAGCCAGTGGACGCTTAAAGGAGCAGGGAAGCGGATCACATGACACGCCTCCCTCTCTTTCTTCCTCCCTCCCTCTCGCGTTTCCTCCCTCCCTCCCTCCCTCCCTCCCTCTCTTCCTCAACCCTGGCCCCCAGGTTCAGGGATCTGAGCTACCGCCAGCTCTGTCTACCGCTTTCAGGTCTGGTCTACAGCTTGTCCGGGCAACAGCTGGTATATTGAGGGGGGTGGCTGGTGTTGTTAAATGGGCTCGGCATAAACAGCCTCTCACATGTTTCTTTTTCTGGTTCACAAAGTATGGAATTTAAGTCATTAGTGGGCCTCTTTGCAAACCCTTAAGTTACACATTGAATCCACACCACCACCAACCACTGGAACTCTAGGAAAGAGGTGAATTTACAAAAGGAATCTAATGAAGGTTAAGTCAAAGTATAAAGAGAAGAAATCACATCTCGGTTTAGGTTCCTTCTGCCTGGCCCTAGCCTGGGTTATACCACTCTAAATACCCCACTAAACTGCCCTTCAAGGAGCCTGACTGTCCAGCCAAGTCAAACATCTGTTCTTTATTCCACCCTGGACTTCGAGTCTTGATCTTGACTATTACCATAATGCTTTAAAGTTAATTCAAAACCCAATTTGTTTTTAAAAACTCTGTTTTGTTTTGTTTTTTTACACCACCTCATATTCTAAGAGTTGAACCCCTCCAATCCTGCTTTCACACTTTCACCTATGATAAGGTCTTGTGTATGCACATTTATATTCTCTACTGGCTAGAAGGTCCTGAGAGATTGGGACCAAATTCAAGTCTTTTTGTATACATACCATCCTCTACCCCACCCCACACCGCCCCAGTGCCTAACAAAATTCTCACACTAGGAGATCCTGCATGAACTTTTGTGGAATGAACAAATGAGGAATGCTTAAGCAAGCTCACAGTTTGCATTTCAAAAGCCTGAAGGATCTTACTTGGGTTAGATAGTACACATGTTAAGTAGTACCAGTCAGAATTTCAGGTGGGTGGTCACAGCTAAGGAGGCTGAGTAAGGAGGATTAGGAGTTTAAAACCAACCTGGATAACTTTGGAAGACTCTGTCTCAAAATAAAATATAAAAAGTGATCTGGGGATGTGGGAGATCTTAGCATGTGGTATAAGCCTCTAGATTCAAACCCCATCAGAGACAGAGGAAGAGAAAACAAAATGTTAACTCTTTGAGAGATGTGTTTATACTTATACATGACTTCCAAGGAAAAGTGGTGGACACTGATCTTAAGTGATTTTTTGGTCAGTCTGTCCTAAACACCAGGACCTGGCTTTTCCATGTTTAATTAACTGTCTATTTAACCAATACAACTCACATCACACCTTAGCTTTATAAAGGTACCACCTTGTCTTCTCACAAGTTTTCCAAAGCCACCAGCAAGCCTGATTTCTTGCTTCTTGTCCTCTTCCTGTGAAGGGACTATTCTAAGAACTGTCCTCCTCTGATCTACGCCTGCACCTGCGTATACAACACCTTGAAAGATATACTACATAAACAAGGTCATTCTTAGTTCCCAACTAGACCAGACTCCTAAAGACAGGTATCAGGTTTTGTCTATATAAAACGTTGTTTCCTTGGTCTCCAGCAGACCAGGGCTGTAGCTGCTTTTAATTTACTGCTTCTTCCTTCAATTCTTTATTCAATAGTTACTGCCTTAATATATTTCCCTCTTTCCTTCCTAAGCACTAGAGGATACCAAAACTGCAAGAGTATTCTGAAGGATCTACAAGCTACCTGTCATTCACTGTATAATGATTACCTGCATTGTAATTGACACCTGGAACTCTCAGAAGGGAATACACAGCAGAACTGCTATGGATAGGAGTGTTCAGAAGTGTTTGACTGCTCCTTAAACAGAGACTGTAGATCATTGTCCTTCTTTCTTTAAATTTTCAGAAGACTGTATCATATATGTGTAATAGAGAAAAGGGAAGGAAGAAAAGGAGGGAAGGGAGGAAGAAAATGATCTCCTCATTCCATGGGGTCCTATGGGATGCTCCACAGTGGAAGTGCTAAAACTGGTGTCCATTTCTTTTGGCTCATGGTCTTTTTAAAATCACCTTTCTATAGTCTGCCCATGCTTTATCAAACCTCAGCATAAAATCAGAAAAAGTCTTAGTTACTTTTCTATTTCTGTGATAAGGTCATGACAAAGGCAATTTATAGAAAAAGGCATTTACATGGGTTTACAGATCCAGTCCACAATTATACAGCAAAGGCATAGCACCATAAACAGCTGATCCCCAAGTAGGAGGCAGAGGGAAGCTAGCTGGGAATGCCTAAGCCTTTTGAAACCTCAGTTTTTACCCCTAGTGACAAACCTTCTCCAACAAGACCACAGGTACTATAATAATTTTTTTATAAAAGTTCTACCAATTGGGGACCAAGTATTCAGACATATGGGGGCATTCTCATTCAAACTATCACAGAGTGGGACATTCTGACTCAAGCCACCACAGGTACCTTGGCCTGATTCATTGGTCTTGACTAGGAAGGCTCCTTTGCATGTAATGGAAAGCTTTGAGTAAACTTGTCATACTTTTCTTATAAAGTGGGTTTTGTGATAGGATTATCTCCACAAGAAGCTTTAAAAATTTTAATTTCTGTTGTCTTTGTAAATATTAATAGTAACTTTCAGATCATCATTTTCCAATGTGATAACATGAATATATAGGAAAGAAAGCTCCTTGTCCCTGTATCACTAATCAGCTCTAAGGCTCAATGTTCTCACCTATAAAATAGAAATAATAATATTATCATCATTTAGTATATTCTTAGTAAGTCATAAATACTTGTTATTTATTATGTTAAGGAAACATTAATTGAATTAATAATCTTGGCCAGGAAAATAAAACTAGGAACTAGGCATGTAGTTCTGTTGCTAAGGTGCCCACTGAGCAAGTATAGAACCCTGTTTTGTTTCTTGGTTTTCCAACATAGGGTTTTTCTGTCTGTAACTCCCTAACTGTCCTGGAACTCACTTTATAGACCAGGCTGTCCTCAAAGTCACAGAGATCCACTTGCCTCTGCCTCCTGCATGTTGGAATTAAAGGTGTACATCACCATACCTGGAAGAACCCTATTTTTAATCCCAGCAATGTATACACTGGGTATGGTGGCATACAGCTATAATCCCAGTGTTCAAGAAGGCAGATAATTAGGAAGATCAGAAGTCTAAGGTCATCCTTGACTAACAAGGCCATATATGGGATTTGAGGCCAGCCTAAGATACATGAGCTCTTGTCTTAAGAAAAGAAACTAGTAAGACTGATCAATGATTAGTTTTTCTCTGATGTAACATTTGATCAAGTTATGAAAACTTTTTTAATGAGTCAATATCTCAATATCCAGCTTCTGTATACTCATGACCCTCCTGTTCTGAACTTCCCAATGCTACTATTACAAGCATGTGTCACCACAACAATCCTGCAAATACTTATTGAAGCATAATTTTAAAGATGACTAGGGGATTATTTCCGTTTGACAATGGTACTAGTAAGGAAAAATATTTAATACAAAATTATGAAGACCATGTAATGAATGCTAACATTGAAACATTTTATCCTAAAAATTGCTCTCTGAGCCAGAGAGATGGCTCAGTGGGTAGGAGAAAACATGGAGGACCTGAATTTGAACCCCTAAAATGTAGATAAAACAAAATCAGGCAAGCGTGTACATGCCTGTAACTCTTGCACTGTAGAAGGCAGAGATGAGAGGATTGTTGCAGTTTGTTAGCTACCAGCCTAGCTCTAAGTCAAAGGAATGAGGTGAAGACTAATAAAGCAAGACATGTATGTCCTCCTCTGGCCTCTGCACATAGGTGTGTGGGTATGTAACGCCCACCCACACTCACCCACACATGTACACACTGAGTTGCCTCCAACCACCAAGGAAATACTTATTTTGAGTCATCAGAGAGATGATTCCAGAGATAAGCATAGTGTCTGGAGAGGTGCCTAAGCAGTCAAAAGCATTTGCTGCTTTTTCAGAGGATCAGAATTTGGTTTACAGCACTCAAGGTGGATATCTCACAACTACTTCTAATTCCAGATTCAGGGAATCCAGTGCCCTCTTTCTGCCCACATGGGCACCTGACGCGCGCATGCATGCATGCATGCACGCACACACACACACACACACACACACACACCAAATAACAACTAACAAAGGGCCTGGAGAGATGGCTCCACAATTAAGAGCACTGGCTACTCTTCCAGTTCAACTCCCTGCACACACAAGCCTTCTAATAACTGTCTGAAAAATCTAGTTCCTGGGGATCTCTGGATACTGAATACACATGATACACAAACGTATATGCAGGCAAAACACATAACATAAAAATATTTTTTAAAAAGATATTAGCATACTTAAAGCTCAAAATCCAACTCTAATACCAGAAATTGATCATTCTACTAGACTTTAAATTGAATAGCTTTGCTATTCATCATTTTATTTGAAGTTTTTGGCATATGGCAAGTCTTAATTTGTGAAACACATGTTTGCTGATCAATGGATATCTGAGAATAGATAAAATCCCTCTCCTCTCTCCAGGTCCCACACAAAATTTGCTAGCTAAATTTTTTATATGATCTTTATATACTAGGCTATATATTTCACATACAGCTATGTTTGTGGTGTGGTATGTTGTAACCCCAGCTATCTTTCAAGTTCCTTAAACAGAAGAGAATCCTGAGTGTAGCACAACTCCTGGCACAGAGAAAAATTCAGGTCCTTCCTTCGAGAACCAAGAACAGTGTGATGTTAGTGTTTTTTGCAGAAGATGATCTGTAGAGATCTAAAATAATTAAGTACACCTCTTTAAATACCTAATTGACTTCTCAGAGGAATCTAACAAGAACAGAAACCTACTATGAAGCATCTGCTCTCACAGGTAGATTTTATCCATTAAAAGCCCACAAGTTGGTGCTTCTCTCTCTCGCTTTCTCTCTCTCTCTCTCTCTCTCTCTCTCTCTCTCTGTCTCTCCC